TTGCAGAAGCCACCCTTGCAGCCCCCCTGCCACCAAAATCTTGCCACGCAAACCCAAACCAGAAGGAAGTGTCTCTCTAGGTTATATTCTTTGAGATCAGATAGAAATTCACGAAGAAAATGTAAATTATGTTTTATTAGGACTTTTTGGAGAGCCAAGATGACATTTTTGAGGAATCAAATGTTAAAGATAATGAAGACTTCAGATTTGATGGATTCAATATTAATGACTGCAAAGCACTGATCCAGACCAAGGTAAGAATTGCTCTGAAAGCAAGGGCTTCAGGGAACCACAGAGTGTCTTTTACATGCTCCTCATGTTGTAGCCAGCTGTTCTAGCATATGTCGTAGAATCATAGCATGTTTTGGGTTGGAAAGGACCACAGAGATCATCTAGTTCCAAATCCCCTGCCATGGGCGGGAACATGCTCCACTAGACCAGGTTGTCCAAAGCCCCATCCAGCCTGGCCTTGAACACTTCCAGGGATGGGGCAGCCACAGCTTCCCTGGGCAACCTCTTCCAGTGCCTCACCACCCTCACAGGAAAGAATTTCTTCCTAATGTCTAATCTAAATCTACCCTGTTTTAGTTTAAACACGTTACCCCTTGTCCTGTCACTACACTCCCTGATAAACAGTCCCTCTCCAGCTTTCCTGAAGGCCCCTTTAGGTACTGGAAGACTGCAATTAGGTCTCCCTGGAGCCTTGTCTTCTCCAGGCTGAACAACCCCAACTCTCTCAGCCTGTCCTAATAGGAGAGGTGCTCCAGCCCTCTGATCATCTTCATGGCCCTCCTCTGGACTCACTCCAACAGCTCCATGTCCTTCTTATGTTGGGGCCCCCAGAGCTGGATGCAGTACTGCAGGTGGGATGTCACGAGAGTGGAGTAGAGGGGCAGAATCCCCTCCCTCGACCTGGTGGTCACGCTTCGTTTGATGCAGCCCAGGACACGGTTGGCTTTCTGGGCTGCAAGTGACATTGCCAGCTCATGTTGAGCTTTTCATCAGTCAACACCCCCAAGTCTTTCTCCTCAGGGCTGCTCTTAATCCATTCCCTGCCCAGCCTGCGCTTGGGATTGCCCCGACCCATGTGCAGGACCTTGCACTTGGCCTTGTTGAACTTCATGCAGTTCGCACGGGCCCACCTCTCAAGCCTGTCAAGGTCCCTCTGGATGGCATCCCTTCCCTCCAGTGTGTTGACCACACCACACAGCTTGGTGTTGCCAGCAAACTTGCTGAGGGTGCACTCGATCCCACTGTCCATGTTGCCAACAAAGATGTTAAACAGCACTGGTCCCAATACCAACCCCTGAGAAACACCACTCATCACTAGTCTCCACTTGGACATTGAAGAAAAATTTGATATTTTCCATGGCCAGTATAGAAGCCCAAAGGGACTATTATTCTCAGTCACATAACTGTCTCTAATTCAGAGACAAGGATGTCGCGTGGGACAGTGTCAAATGCTTTGCACAAGTCCAGGTAGATGACATCTGTCACTCTTCCCTTATCTGTCACTGTCCCGCTCTACCAACGCTGTAACCCTGCTCCATGATGCTGTAATATGCTCCATGATCTTGCTGGGCACAGAGATGAGACTGACTGGTCTATAGGTCCCTGGGTCTTCCTTTTCTCCCTTTTTAAAAATGAAGGTTATGTTTCCCCTTTTCCAGTCAGTGGGAACTTCACCGGACTGCCACGACTTCTCAAATATGATGGAGAGTGGCTTAGCCACTTCATCCGCCAGTTCCCTCAGGACATGTGGATGCATCTCATCAGGTCCCATGGCCTTGTGCACCTTCAGGTTCCTTAGATATTCTCAAACCTGATCTTCTCCTACAGTGGGTGGTTCTTCATTCTTCAGTCCCTGCCTTTAATTTCTGTGACCTGGGCAGCGTAGCTTGAATACTTGCTGGTGAAGACCGAGGCAAAGAAGTCGTTGAGTACGTCAGCCTTCTCCGTATCCTGGGTAACCAGGTCGCCTGTTCCCTTCTGGAGGGGACCCACATTTTCCCTCATCTTCCTTCTATCACTGACATACCCATAGAAACTTTTCTTCTTGTCCTTAACATTCCTGGCGAGATTTAATTCTATCTGTCCTCATGTAATTATTTGGATGCAGAGTTGTGTTTTGCTCTTTGAAACCTATCTATCTGACAGCTTTAGAAAGGGTACAATATAACGTACTAAATGCAAAGAACAGCGATATATAAAATGTAGTCAGGATGCTCTGATGACAAAGGAAGATTAGCGTGTCTGTAGAAGGATCAACATGTCAATCACCGAGAATGATGATTTTAACTCCCTCCTGACATCTATGGGAAGGGAGACATTAGAAGCAAAGCTGGTAAGAGAAGAAGTTGCATTCAGACTTGCATTTCATATATTCAGAATGAGTCAGATTTGGTTTGCTCACTTGAGGAGAAAACAGGAACTGCTTAAGGAGGAAGGCAGAATTGATGTTATAATTTTGAGATTTGAGAATGTTACTGTTTTTAAGCTGTGTTACAAAACATAGAGAAATGAAATTGAAATACTTTGTTGTTAGTGCATTTATGTCTGTGGTCAAACCGACCTTAATAAGCTCTGTTTCTTTCTTGCTAAAGCAATGGAAGTTGGAAGGAAAATTCTGTCTTTTCCATTGCTTTAAAAAAAAAAGATCAGTCACATTGTGTTTTTAACAAACTATTTTGGATTAATGTTCTTAACCCAAGGTCCCTTCCTCAGTGGAGAATAAACTTGAGCAGTGGTTGTTGCTGTGGAGATGCATAGTTTGAGGCACGCTTTCCTTGCTCTGTTTTATTCTGTTTACTGCATTGGACAATGAAGATGTATACTGTTCTGGGAACCTTGTACGTAAGAGATGTTAGACTGGAGAATTCAGAAAGAAAACCAAAAAAGACTGTCCAGCTTGTTCCTTCATAATTCAGTTCTGCTTCCTTCAATGAGTACATGAGGGTGAGATCGCAGTAGCTGACACATACTTGGAAATGTGTAAAATGTGGACAAGGTTTAGGCAAAGGAGAAGTGGTTCAGGTCAATGAAGAAGGAGTAAAAGTAAAAAGAATCATGATCCCAAGTTAAGGTAAATGGACAGTATTTTTCTGGAGCAGCCTCTGAAGGGAACGAACAAGCCCAGCAGGTTTTGGTGTCTCAAAGTAAGGCTCATTAGGAAATGTATGTTGCCATTTCTAATTTTAAGTAAGTTAAATCATATAGTGGGATGTTTTCAATGGATCTTCCTAGTTATGTCCTTTTTTTCTTCTTACGCTAATTTTATTTTTATGAAAACTGTATAAAAATTAGATTGAAATATGCAAAGTGATTAACTTACTGTAGGATGGAAAAAATTAACTTAGTTTTTCTTTTTCACTCAGCTTTCTGTATCACCGGATTCCAGACATGGTCATCTTTTTACCTGTAACCTCTTTTTGAAAACCACACCGTCAAATGGAAACATGCAATATATAACAATCCCAAGGAAAAAGCACATTTTTGCTACACAAAACCTAAAACCGAAATTTTTCAGTAGTGATGTTTGTTGAACCAAATGCACTTTTTAATCTTTTTTGTTTTTTTCTTTTTGAACTGAATGCAGTTTGCTTTCATTTTGTTACTGGCTTGGTACTATAGAGCACATATGTTCTTTAGGGAAGTGACATATTACTGTATATGAGGTACCTAAAGCCACATTATTAGAAGTTATTTATCCTATTTAGTTGTGAAGTCAAAGGTGTAATTTTGTCCTGTGAAGTTTTGCTGCAGGGTGGTGTCTCTTGCAGTAAATCCAGCTGCAGTCACACTTTAATGATGCTCTGGTGGACTACTCTCCTGAACTACTGACCTCTCAGGCCTTAATGCCTCTTCAGTCAAAACCCTTGTTTCCCTGCCAAAATCTAAATGCTCCTCAGGTGTTGTGTAACCTGTGCCTTGTCACCATCTCCGGCTTGGATCAGCTGAGATCTGTTACTTTGCCACTGCTGACCCTGACAAGAAGAGCCTTCTACATCTGGTGGCTTCCGCTGGGCTGTAGAAAAATAAAACTCTTAATTTAAAGCCTACTGTGGTAATATGGGTAGAGTCAGTGAAATGTTTTGTTCTGGTGTTGGTTTCTAGCTGAAATAAATCACCTCTCTGAAGCTAATTTTAGCAGGACTTCTTGGATTCATTTGGCTACCAAACACTTACACCAGGCATAACCGTGTGTGTTCAAGCTCAGCAGTGCTGTAGTTCAGGATGTGCACCGCGCAGTGCTGTAACTTGCTGCCCTTCGCTTCACTCTCCTTCACATCATCCGTGGCACTTCCCTGCCAACTGCAACAGCTTTGTTTATTCGTTGGTAATAACTTTTAAGCAAGTTACTAATCTATTTACTGCTTTGCCATTCTGAATATGGCTCTTTATTTTAAAGACTTGCTAAGCCCTGCAACTGCCATTTTATGTGTTAAAAGCAGGGAACACGCTTGGATATTCCAAAACTATGTCAGTTAATTTAATGACGTGCCTATTCTGTTCTTCAAATTAAGACTACTATAAAAGCACTGGCAGACTCCAACCCTTAATCTAGTTAACTGTTCAGCAGCGAAATTACAATTGTTGTAATAACTCAGAACTTTAGTAACGTTTATGATACCTCAGTGCTATTACATGGGCTGAGCTGTGTGTTGGTTACTCAGTCAATGGAAACAGGCCATTTGGAAAGGTGCTGTTTGAAAGCGGCTCAGCAGCTTCCCTGGCCCGGGAGGGACACTGAAAACTCCATGGGGATACAAGAGCAGGGTTAACTTTTACGCTTAACACTGGATTTGAATCCGTTTTCAATATTTCCCTTGTGAGTCTTTCAGAGCACTTAAATGTGCATTAAACAGGTTGCAGTTATAAACTCACAAAATAGTAAATTGCCAATAAATGATGACAGGATAGTTGAGGTTGGCAATAAACATTGAAATCAATTTTAAGACTAAAACGTCATTCATTGTTGTGCTTTTGGACAAGCAGGGCCCTGCAGAGGGGCTGGAGGTGGCAGTTTGTAGCAGGTGTGACACCAGCTGAGGCACCGAACCCCAGAGGCTCTTTTCTTCTGGGCTTTCAAGCTTGCTTTTGCGGGATGAAGGTATCAAAGATTGTTTTGCACCGTTACCCCAGGGGAAGGGTGAACACATGGTCTTTCCCTCACACTAGCCAGTTTTACAGCCCTGTCCAAGGTACAGATTGGGATAGAAAAGGGTTTCAGCCCTTTATGGTTCAGTGCGAAGAAACCTACTGGGGTTCCAAAGGTGACAGGGCTCCACATTTCAGGTTTTTCTTTTTTGGACAGATGCTTTGGGCCACTTGAGCCCGTCCTGCCTGTAAACACTGACTGTGCAATACAATGGAGAGAGTTTTGAGTCCTGTCTTCAGTCTAAGATTAACAAATTCATCTCTTCAAATAAAAAGACTAGCAGATTTGAAATTACAAAGTAATTCAATTCAGTTTCAAGTTTGTGGAGTCCTGGCCGCCCTCAGCACAATTTGGACACAACCTGTGTATTTGGGGCTGTTCACAAACAGAGAGTTGCACTCCATGGCTCTTTAACTGACAAGAGAGCATCCTCGGGGAGGGAAACCAAGTGTTAGCAGCCCGCTTTCTGGGGTATTGCGTAGTAGCAATTAGCCTCTGGGAAACGAGGGGTGCCGGAAACCCCTCTGGTGTGTTTTGCACAAAGAGTAGTGGTTCGTTTCCTGTAGTCATTTCCTTGTTCCTCCTTCCCGGCGCCCCGCCACGCGTGCCAGCGCTGCGCACCCACCCTCCTGCTGCACGGCTGCCCTGGGAAGCGGCAGGTGTTGCGGCTGTGAAAGTGGTGCACCCAGGAAATAAAACTTCGTATCTTACTATGCTTTAAGCTACGACTTTCATCATTTTTAATCTTAGTGGTGAGCTCTCAGCTGTGAAACACTTGAGTTTTGATGAACTAAACATGTTACTGTACTCTACTCTGTTTGCGGAAAGCAAACACCGTAGACTTTTGACATTTGCTTAGGATTTTGGAAAGGTGAAAAACTAAAGCAAGGTAAGAGTTTGAGAGAGCAGAGCTAGGCAGAAATGCCTTTTCCTTCCACTGAGATTAGAGGGAAAAATATACCCATAGAACAAAGTTTTAAAAAGTTCAGCAACATAATTACTGAAATGTTTCCTTTGTAGGAGGAACACTGTAAACAGCTTCAGAAAAAAAAAAAAGAACTACTACATTGCAAAAGACTGGAAATATTTCAATGCATATTCTGTTGAAAGCTATAAGTACAATTTTAGGGCACTTATTTCAACTAATAATCCTTAAAATTGAGCAGAGTAGGAAGGCAAAGTTTTGGGAAGTTTTGTTTTAGAAACAGCATATTGATAGTATTTGTAGACTTATTTTTCAAGTCCAAATAAAATGTAGAATTTGGTTAACAAAAAAAAAAAAGGGGGGCATGCCAGACCTTAGGATGATTTCCAAGTATACCATAAGCCCACCATTGGTTGGACATATGCAGAAGACTTGGGAGTAAAAAAACCAACCAAACAAAAAGTCTTTGAAAAGAACTTTTAAGCTTTTACAAGTGCAAGGTTATCACAGGATTTAAAAGCACTCTGATCTTTTTAATAGTGAAAATCAGTTTTAATAGTCCTCCCATTTTTTTAATGGAAGGACTTACTGTAGTACTCCTACTGCAATTAAGATGGCAGAGGGAATTTGGCTACAAATGAGCTGCATTCAAATTAATTGTTACCACCCGAAACTTCCCTGTGGATCTGCGTTTAACTCACCAGATCCACTCTGGAGGATTTCAGAGACAACAAACCCAGAGCAGCGCGCCAGCAGATGCAACAAGCTTGCTTCACCTAACCAAGTTCTCCGTTCCCTCTCCTGAAATACAGGTGGAGCCTGAGGAATTCTCATCCCGAGGTGCAGCCGGGGTGCCAAAGCACAGCCAGCCCAGCTTTGTGCTCTGCTGGGGTCACTGGCTCCTAACCAGGGAAAAATGTATGGAATGAAGTTGCAACATTTCTTTCTTTTTCAATCAAGGCAAGATGTCTGTGAATGCCGGGCAAATACTTAAATGACAAGAATCTTCCAGCTTCCCTGAACATCTGCTTTAATAATACATACTTTTATAGACACACTTCTGCATCTCAATAGCTTAACTCCTCACTTCTAATATTTTAATAGCTCATAATTAGTTTTGCCACTAATCATAGCCCATCTTCCTCATGGAGCTAATGGGTAAGTTTGGTTTTTGTGTGTTCAATTCTTGCTTGAGCTGAAAAGTCTTTTTAAGTCTTACTTCCAGTGTACAGAATACTGAACTCAACAGAGCACTCAGGGTAGTACCTGCATCTCCCCAGTTAAGCCCTGTCTTAAACCAGCATTGCACCAAGCTGTGCTGTTCAGCCTCTTTTAAGCCCAGATCCTTCATCATGGCTGCCCTGGTTTCGGCAGCAATAGTTAATTTTCTTTCTGGCAGCTAGTGTGGTGCTGTGTTTTGGGTTTAGGACGAGGACAATGCTGATAACACTGATGTTTTTATTGCTGCCAAGCAGTCAAGGACTTTTCAGCTTCTCATCCTGCCTTGCTAAGAGAAGGCAGAGGGTGACCAAGCAGCTGACCCAGGCTGACCAAAGGGATATTCCATACCATATGACATCATGTCCCATTTCTAATTGGTCAGCTGGGGGTCTTGTGTGGTAGCCAAGGGTCTTGCTCAGCATCGACTTCTGTGTGATGGCCTTTGTCTTCCCAGGTAACAGTTACACATGATGGAGCCCTGCTTTCCTGGAGATGGCTGAACACCTGCCTGCCCATGGGAAGCAGGGAATGAATTCCTGGTTTTGTTTTGCTTGTGGATGCGGGCTAGGAGCTAGGGGTGTTACATAGCATTGACTTTGGGTGGGAAATGGTACTGTTCGTCACTTGTTTTGTACATATTAATACTATTATTAATAATTTTCCTTTTGGTGTTTGTCCTATTAAACTGTTTGTATCTCAACCCACAAGTTCTCTTTCACTCTTGATTCTCTCCCCCATCCTGCTGGGGGAGTGAACAAGCAGCTGCATGGTGCTCAGCTGCCAGCCAGGGCTAAACCACAACAGTGGCTAAAACTGATGGAAGTATTTGCAACCCTACACCACCTTTAGAATCTCAACATGAGCTGAAAGCAACACACTTCAAAAATATTTTCTTAAAAGACCAAACCCAAAGACCCATCAGCACAGGAGCAGGTCCATTCTGCAGTACAGGTAGTGTCCTGCTCAGTGACGCAGTCACAGTGTAACGTCACGCTAGTAGCCACCTCACAGCCCAACCCAGACTTCCCTGCAGTTGTTACCTCTAGACCTATGCTTTTCACTCTGTGGTCAGCTAGCTCCAGGACAAAAGGGAAGAATTCCTAGTCTGGCAGTAGCAGACAATGCATTTATCTCCTCAATAAGTGAAGTTCATTGTGGAAGACTCAGGATCTTGTTTTAGAGGTCCACAACAGGAAGGGGTTGGAAACCTGGGAACCTGCAGTCACTGGTGTAATTGG